ATTAGATTTTTATTTAGGATATATTCGAATTTAATACCATGGTGATCAGAGGAAGGACATATAGAATTTTCAATTTGCCAGTTAACAATATGATTCGAGATTGAGGGTGAAGTTATGGTGAGATCAACGATGGAACCACGCAGAATTCCATCCGCTGTAGTTTCATATGTGTGATCTGTGCCAGTGTTATTGATGGTAAGATTGTGACAAATAATAAGATCAACGATTTCTTTACCTCTTTTATTAGCTGTAGGAGATCCCCAAAGTTGGTGCCAGCCATTTAGGTCACCCGCGATAATATGAATGGCGTCTCCTGTTTCAATTAAAAATTGTTCCAAGTAGTTCAATGTTTCATTTTCGTCATCTTTGGGCTCTACGTAAATGCTAGTTAGAAATATTCTTTTCCCAGAAGTGATGAGCTGTACTATACATAAATTTGGCGTTGAGTACTTCGAAATGCCGAGGCAGCTGCCAAGACCCTCTTTGATAAGAATGCTAGCCTTGACATGACGGTTATGAGGGAATTGGTATGTTGTATAGCCGGGTGTTTTTTCATAAACGTATTATTTCCTATATATGGTTCATTTATAAAGACTACCTGTACACTATTTGAGCGACAATATGCCAATAATTCTTGTTGAGCATTATATCCACGTACCAAGTTGCATTGAATGAAAGTAATGCCATCTTTAGACGTTTTATTGCAATTATTGAGATGTATTTTATTGCTCTGTTTGGAAATGTTATTATTACTCTGATAGATATTTATTTGGTGATTAGTTTGTAAGTCCATAATCAGTAGATTCTTCTAGTTTATTTTTAATAGAGATAATTCTAGGGCACAGTTTTACATTTGTTGCATTATGTCTAGTGTCGGTATTGGCATTGGTCTTCAAATTATGTTTGTGACAGTTAAAGCACTTACGTTTCTCGTCGGAGGTTCTGTTAGGACAATCCGTAATATTGTGGTCTTCTGAGGCACAAAACGCACACGGGTGAATTGCTATGGTACAATTTGTTTTTGTGTGTCCAAATTGTAAACAACGATGGCATTGAACAAATCGCGAGAAAGGCCCGACAAACACCCGTTGGTGATTAATTGCTACACGTCCGTATGCAGTAATAGTTGTGTAGTATTTAGGCGCCACTTCCAAAACTGCATTATATAAAGCTTCATTCTTATTTGAAGTAAGCAAAAAATGCGTAGTGCGTCTTCAGGAATCGAATTTTGGTAAGAAATAATTTCAATTAGTTCTTCTTTTGTTGTTTCTCTTGAAATTCCTTTTAAAATAATAAGGGGGCGCCTACTTTTGGACTCTTCGGCTTGTAATCCTTCTATCTGGTTAGCTTTAGTAATGGCTTCCTCGCATTGCTTGTGGTTTTTAAACTCTACGCGAATTTTCCCATTTGATATTGTGTGCACTTTAACAGGGGCATATTTTTCTTTCTTAAATGAGATGTTTTTTTTCCAAGTAGCGAGAATATCTGAAGATTTCGCTAAAGGGTTTGTAGATTTGATAACTATTGCTGGTTTTTTAGGTGTGAGAGATGCCACTTTCGCGTATGTAAGACCAGGCGCATTGGTAATAGGAGTTAGTTCTTCTTTAAGCTTTTTGATTTCCTCTATAACGCTGGTTAAAATATCACTCTTCAAAGTCTGATCCTCGACATGTGAAGTTTTCGCCGATAATACAGTGGAAAGGCTGTTCGAGGCCCTTCTAATTTCTTCAGCTGCCAGATTTATAAGACGTTTGTTGACAGCTGTAACGCTTTTTCCCTCATTAACCGCATTAGAGATACATGCGGTCAACTGATTGATGAGATCTATATATGTATCGAAGTTTTTTACGTTACTAACGTCACAAGGAAGTCGTGGTATTTCTTTATCTAAAGGCGCCATTGTATATAAAAAAAAATGAAGGCTAAATAGTACTTTTATATAATATAATAATATAAGTCTACTTAAGTAATGAAAACCGGGAGGGTAGGAGGGCGATTTTTCGCTTTAATCTATGTTTTCTGTTTCAGATACTAACTAACAAAGATATTGAAATTTTATGTTATAATTTTATATGAATTTCGGGCTTAACCACTATACCTCGGTTCTATACAAATACGATTTTTCGCTTTAATCTGTGTTTTCTGTTTCAGATATCACCGGGGACGATGATTGTGGTGCAAGGGGGACTAGATGGCAAGAAAATTTGGAAGAAAAATGAAGATTTGAGAAAATATGAAAATTAATTAAAATTACGTTATCTAAAATAAAAATATTGTGTTTTAAAACTAGAAATTGGCTAAAATATGCCTGAAATTACTTATAATATAATAGAATCAATTAAAACCTAAAAGTTAAGACACAAATTATTAATGTGGGACGCGAATTAACAAAGATATTGAAATTTTATGTTATAATTTTATATGAATTTCGGGCTTAACCACTATACCTCGGTTCTATACAAATACGATTTTTCGCTTTAATCTGTGTTTTCTGTTTCAGATATCACCGGGGACGATGATTGTGGTGCAAGGGGGAGTAGATGGCAAGAAAATTTGGAAGAAAAATGAAGATTTGAGAAAATATGAAAATTAATTAAAATTACGTTATCTAAAATACAAATATTGTGTTTTAAAACTAGAAATTGGCTAAAATATGCCTGAAATTACTTATAATATAATAGAATCAATTAAAACCTAAAAGTTAAGACCTAAATTATTAATGTGGGACGCGAATTAACAAAGATATTGAAATTTTATGTTATGGTTAGGTTAGGTTAGGTTTTTTTTTTAAATGTATGTATTGCTGTTTCCCTCTGACATGGAGGTCAGAGACATTGTCAGCTTGACACGGACTTTAAATTCTTGTTTTTTATTTATTTCTTTGTCCTTAGTATTATAGAGGGTGTAGATAACTCTGGGTTTTCGATCGGGAGTCCTACTACTCTTAATCTAATACATGTAATAGCATCATATCTCTTACTTATTAATACCTATATATAACGCTGAAAGAGATCAGGGACGTTTTCTCTTTTTACTTAGATTTATATATCTTACATTCGGTTCTTTTTCTTATTTTACTTATGCCTAATCTTATTATTACGTGAGTACTTGTTGCTATATCTTAATCTACTTTTTAACTAATTTCGCGGAGCTGTTTACTTTATATACTTAAATATAAGTGACAGTTTCCCTTATTGCAATTTTTATTTGTTTTTATTTACTACCTTACTTGCTATAAGCTTACAATAGTTTAAGAACCTTATTCTAAGACACTTATTTTCTATTATTTTACATATGTTATCTTTTTCTATTTTAGTTTCTAGTTCTATTTCTACGTTATTTCTTTCTTTGCAATAGATGGGACATTCTGTAATGATGTGCATTATACTTTCTTTCATCATTGGATCACAGGGACATGATGGGCTCTCCTTGCATTTGAATCGATGCAAGTATTCCGAGAACCCGCCATGTCCTGTCATAACTTGCACCATTAACGGGTCTATATTCAATTTCCTTACTATAAGATAGGCGTTTATTGCGTTGGGGAAATAAATTTTAGTTATAGAAGCCGTTTCGCCTTCTATGTAGCGTTGATTCCATTCATCAAGTGAGTCAAGACGAATCCGTCTTTTGATTAATGAAATCGGGCACTTGTCATATTCGGGTTTTCTTTTTATTTTTAACGCGGCGTCTTTTGCTAATTGATCTGCTCTCTCATTTCCCTCCAATCCAGCGTGTGCCTTTATCCAAAATAGTTTAATTAATTTGCCTTGTTTTTGTATTTCTAAAATATTTTTCCTAGTATTTACTGCTAGGGGATGGAGGGAAACGCTCTGGACAATTGTCTGGAGAGCAGATCTGGAGTCGCTATAAATATTGCAACTCGTTGCCTGGTCGTTGAGTACGTGATTTGTTGCCTCGAATATGGCCAGCAACTCCGCCTGGTAGACCGTGCAGAAATTTTCCAACTTTATTTTTCGGGTACTTGTCTCCGCTGCGCCATTCCAAATAGATAGCGCTGCGCCAACTTTCCCCTCGATCTTGCTGCCATCTGTGTATATTTTTAGTTCTTTATTGTCGTTTTGGTCAATTTGTGCACGGTCCTCCAGGCATATAAATTGCAGCCCAACTTGATTTGCGGGGTGAGGCGTTTTACCGAAATCTGTCTTCCTTTCCACATCTCGATCCCCTACCACTCGCTGGGAGAAGCCTTTCTTTATTTCATAAAGCAAGGCTACTTCCCGAACCCTTAAGTCCAAAGGAAGCAGCCCAGCGAGTAGTAGTGCCGAGTGTAAAGATACAGTTCGATAAGACTTTATTATTTTCTGAACAAACCCGCGTTGTGCCGCGTCGAGCTGTTTTCTAATTTTCTTCTTGTATGTTGCCTGTGCCCATGCACTTGCCGCGTACATAATGATCGGCTCCGTCACTGCAACGTAAATGGTCCTGATGATCTCGGGGTTCAAGCCCCAACTGATCTTTGCTGCTCTTTATAGTTGGCCATACAGGTTTTGTACCTTGCAGCACACATTTCTTACATGTGCGTTGAAGGTTAACCTATCGTCCAAAGTGAGTCCAAGTATTTTAATTTCCCTAGACAACGCAATGTCCTCTCCTCCCATTTTCAGAAGTGGTGAATCGTACTTTATCTTATTTGTGATCACCATAGCTTTTGTTTTATGCGGCGCAAATTTAAGCTTATTTCTGACTCCCCACTTCTGAACATATGCGAGAACTGCGTTGGCTCGATCCTGCACATCTGATGCTCGTTCCCCGCAGAACATCAGGACCACGTCGTCTGCGAATGCCTGGCAGTATTCCCCTTTGTCGCTTAGCTCCTTTAATAGTGGGTCGAGCAACAAATTCCAGTAAATAGGACCCCCTATTGAGCCTTGCACACATCCCAGCGTTTCATAACTTAGTGCATTTTGTGAAGTGAATCTAATTATCAGAGTGTTAAGGTCTGTATATCAATCGAAGAATTGTTTTAATTAATTTAAATGCAAGCGAGCAAGTTGAAATTTGAATGTTGTCGTCGACAACAAAGTTCTACTGAGTCAATTTTATGTGCAGTATGCAAAAAGAAATATCATTTCGCCTGCGTTAATAATACAGATATAACTTTTAGTGAGCTAACGGAAGAATATAAAGTGTCATGGCAATGTCCTGTGTGTCAAAGTAGGCAGCCCAGATCTGACAATAGTAACACTCCTGTACGTGTTTCGAGCGGGCAAGAGCCTCGTTCCTCGAGAGAACCGTCGCAAAGCATCAATATAATAGGGAAAAAGGACATCTTTCAGAGGGATAAGGTGTCTCAAGGATTCACTCTGGAGGACATCCGTTCTATAGTGAGAGAAGAAATCGGCACCGCCTTGTGCAATTCTAACCAAAAACTTACTGAAAAAATTAACGCAAATTCAAAAGAATTACATGAGGAACTTCAAACCGTTCGTGATTCCATGCACTTCATGCAGCAAAAATACGAGGAGTTGTGTAAGGAGTTGTCATTAAAGACGGACAAGATTCGTTCTTTGGACTTAGAGAATAAAACTCTTAAGCAAGCTGTAAATGACCTGACCTCTAGGTTATCACAGCAAGAACAATATTCAAGAGCCTCCAACGCTGAAATTCAATGCGTACCAGAGCATAAGGGCGAAAACCTATATACTGTGATAAAGCAAATAATATCTACAGTCGATAGCAACATCAACGAAAAAGATATACACTTATGCACGAGAATCGCCAAACTTCACAAAGATAATCCACGCCCAAGATCAATTTTGGTGCGTTTTAGTTCACCCCGAATGCGTGACGAGTTTTTGGCTGCTGCTATAACATTTAACAGGAAGGCACCCACGATTGGTGACAGGCTTAACACAAGTCACCTCGGGATTGCGGGTGATAAAAAACCTATATACGTTGTCAAACACCTCTCGCCAACTATCAAAGCGCTTCATGCAGCAGACCGAAAAAAAGCCAAGGAGCTTAACTATAAGTTTGTCTGGGTGAAGGGTGGACAGGTGTACATGCGGAAAACTCCGGACTCAGAATACAAATTTATCCGTAACTCCGATGTACTGGCGAAATTAACCCAATAGTGTGTTTTTATATCTCTCAGTTGTTGTCGTATATATTACATTTAATTTTTATTATTTAATATTTTTTTTAATTAGTTTATTTTGGTTACATTCCTATTTTAATTTTTTTTATATCTTTATTTGTAAGCTTTAAGTTATATGTCAACATCTATTAGTTGCTATTATCAAAATGTGAGAGGTCTTAGATCCAAAATAACAGAGGTGCGTCAAGAAATACTTAATAGTCATTACGACATTTTTATTTTCACAGAAACTTGGTTAAATTCCGGCGTTGCTGACAACGAGATATTTGGTGACAAATTTAATATTTTTAGGCGTGACCGTGAAAGTTCTACTCTTCAAAATAACAAAAAAACAGGTGGTGGGGTATTAGTAGCAGTTTCAAAAAAGTATGTATCTAAGCGTGAGCATAACTTAGAAAGTGAGTGCGAAGATATTTGGATTACTATCAATATTTCTTCTAACAAAAAATGCACTGATAAGATAAGATTGTGTGCGGTATACCTACCTCCACCAATAACGCAGAAAAGCTTAAATAGTTTTCTTGATAACACTAGCAAAGTCCTTGAAAACCCTTGTCAGCATACGATTATATGCGGAGATTTTAATCTGAGCGGAATATCGTGGACAGTATCAGACGAGGTATCTTATTTACACTCCTCTACCTTTGAAACATGTAATTTAAAATCAAGCTTTATCGATTTTTTGGCTTTAAACAATTTAAAACAGTTTAACCCAATAACTAACAATAAAAATAAAATCTTAGACCTAATTTTGTGTGACAATGAAATAATAACAGTAAATAAAAGTCCCTATCCTGTCCGCGATATAGATGCGTTACACCCTCCGCTTGAACTTTCTTTAAGAATAATAGCTTTGCAGTGTGCAAAAAACTTGTCAAAAAGCGAATTTAACTTTTATAAAGCAGATTATGGTGCAATAATAAAATCTCTCGATGAGGTAAACTGGGTAGATGAACTGAACCCTTTCAGCAACGTAAATATAATGTTAGAAAAGTTTTACGCTATACTACAAAAAATAATAAAAGATTATGTACCCAAGACACGTAAACGTAATTCGAACTATCCAGTGTGGTTTCCTCCTAGCTTAATTCGCTTATTAAAACTGAAATATAAATACCATACCAAATTTAAAAAATACAACAATCCGCTAGACCAAATTGAATTTCAATATATAAGAAAAGATGTGAATCGTATAATAAATAAGTGCTACATAAAATATGTTACAATTATTGAAGACAAAATATCAAAAAATCCCAAATATTTCTGGGCGCATGCGAAAATATTCTTCTTCATTTCCTCTTATCATGACGCTTGGCAACGAGAAAGCATACAACACAAAAGAAACTTGCGATTTATTCGCAAAATACTTTTCTTCAATTTACGTAAAAAGTAACAGCGATGACGACCACCCACAAATACCAACTTCCCCTGAACTACCAGAAATGGAGAACTTCCAAATAACATTTAAAGCAATAATTAAAAATTTAAAAAGACTTGACTGTACTAAAGGAAAGGGACCGGACAATATCCCACCAATATTTTTTAACAAATGTGCACGTTCCTTAGCTGAACCTCTTTCTACCATTTTCAACACTTCTTTGACAACTGGCATATTTCCCTCAAAATGGAAAGAAGCAAGGATTGTTCCTATTTTCAAAGCTGGCAATAAAGAACTAATCTGCAACTATCGTCCAATCTCAATCCTTTCGACTCTGTCGAAGACCTTTGAGGCACTAGTATATCCTCACCTGTACAATCATATCAAGCATATTATTAGTCACAATCAACATGGTTTCGTAACAAAACGATCTACTAATACAAATCTTATAGATCATGTTTCTAATCTAGCAGAAGCAGTTGATAATGGCTTGCAAATAGACAGCATATACACTGATTTTGCAAAGGCCTTCGATAGTGTCGATCACCAAACCCTATTACGTAAATTGAAATCATTTGGTATAACAAAACCTTTTTTTGTTTGGTGTGAATCATACCTAGAGGCACGCACACTTAAAGTCGGATGTATTGGATGGCAATGAATCTTATTCATTTACAGCCTTATCAGGAGTACCACAAGGATCACACCTGGGGCCATTATTTTTTACTCTTTTCTTTAATGATATCACATCATCCTTGAAGAACTCGACAGCCCTCTTATATGCTGATGATTTAAAATTGTCTCGGGCTATTAGAACCAAAAAGGATGAAGAACTGTTGCAGAAAGACCTTAATAGCCTAGTTACGTGGTGCGTACACAATAAAATGACACTTAATCCATCCAAATGTCGGTATATCAATTTCACTCGAAGAAGAAACAAACACCAATCAGTGTATAGCATCCAGGGCGAAAAGTTGACCGAAGTGGGAGAGATTCGAGACTTAGGAGTCACGCTAGATAGTCGCTTTAGCTTCGTACCCCATATAAACAACACCTTAATTGCAGTCAAAAAGCACTCGGTTTTGTCATAAGAAGTGGCAAGGAGTTCAAGAAAACCGGAACAATCATAACAATGTACAATTGCCTAGTAAGAAGTAAGCTAGAATACTGTAGTACAGTATGGTCACCTTATTACAATACTCACATACAGCGAATAGAACGTTTACAGAAACGATTAACCAGACATTTAGCATATCGAAGTCAGTTACCGCGCTGGACATCTTATACACAAAGGCTTAAGATTTTTAATATGCATTCCTTAGAATTAAGACGATCACTGTTAGATATGACATTCTTATATAAACTATTTAATAATGCTATAGACTGCCCAAATCTGCTTAATAAATTTTCCATAAAGGTACCCACACGACTACCTCGTCATCCAATCGGAATACTTAAAGTACGTAAACATAAAAGTAATCTAGGAAAAAATTCACCAATTTCCCGTTTGACACGTACCTATAATATAAAATCAACTGATGACACAGATCTCGACATTTTTAATGACACCTTACATAATTATAGGAGAAAAATTATTATCAGTGAGTGATGCACCTCTGTTATGTATTTTATTTATTTATGTTATAAATATTGGCCCTTTTCTTTAATATCTTTAATTTTTGTACTTTTTTTTTCATTAAATTTAAGCATGTTGTGACAACCTCACATGAATCATCATGTAACCCTTCATTTACTACTCTTGCTGCCTCTCTTATCTGCCTGTGTCCTGGATCATCTTCCCGAACATCATCATCCGGATAGAATGTCTCAGCCAGAGTCTTTGCTGATTCTTCATTTCCCATGATTTTCCCATTCAGGGCAAGAGGAACGTCCTCCTGCCTCTGTGTTGTACGGCCTATCACTCTATAAATACTATCCCACATTGACTCTCGTTCTTGTCTACTGCAAAAGTCCTTCCAGCTGGAAGTTTCAGCCCTTTTAACTTCCTGATGGTACTCGTTCTTTGCATTGAGGTACTGCTCCACAACCCACTCTCGACGAATTGGTTTCGCGTATGATATACGACGCTTTAGTCTAGAGACTTCCTTCTTGAGCTTTGTTAACTCCTCGGTCCACCAGGGCAACCCCATACGTTTTTTGTTTTTTAATTTGGGTAAATGTTTTTCACATACTTCGATTATTGCATTTGTCATGTCTACTATTTTTTTTTTGTTTCTAGTTCTTTTCTGGTTTCTATCTTATCTATTTCTGTTTTGTTGATTGATTTTCTACACCAAATATGGAGAAGTTTCTCACGAAACTCACTCCAGTTTGTCTTTTTTAGTATTAAATTTTCTTGTTGTTCTATCTATGTCAGTGCCAATTGATTTTTCTAAGTTGATGTCGAATAGTATTGCCCTGTGGTCCGAACCAGTTATCTCTTCAGATAGCCTCCAGTTTTCTACCCTCCCTAGCAGGCTCGTCGAACAGGTAGTTATGTCCACACAGCTGGTAAACCTTCTCCCACCTCTGATGGTGTCAAAGGTGGGATCAGTTCCCCTGTTGAGTACGTGAAGCTCCAATTCGTCGAGCCTAGCAGCCACCTCAATTCCTCTACAATCTGTCTCTCGGCTTCCCCACCAGGTGTTCCATGCGTTCACGTCTCCACCAAATATCATGTTTACAGTCCCCAAAGCTTCCACGGCCTTTTCGATCGCGTCCAGGTATGGGACGATTGGTTTGTTGCACTCCAGATAGGCAGACACCACTCCCATCTCCCAGGTCCCAGTCCTCAACTTGGCGACTGCTATGTTTTTCCGTTGTTAGATCAGGACACTGGGTTATGTTAATGGTGTCGTCGAACAATACAATGGCTGCCTTGATCACCTTTTCGGTGTTGGGTTCTCGGTGACATTGTATTATTCGTGTCCCTGGGTACTTCTTCATCTCCCCAATACGACCTATGTAGGGTTCCTGGACTAGGGCGAACGATATCTTTTTTCCAAGTTGCCTCTGTGATCATTTCGGCCGTAGCTAACTCGCTTCTTTGGAGGTTTACCTGTATCGCGTGATATCGGTGGTTGCCGTTGTAGAGGTTTCGGTTAGACCTTGAGACCACCTTAGCAATAAGCTACGGTGGATCGTGCCAAGGCTTCCCATTTCCTTCTCACCGGGCATTCTGGACTGAACGCATTGTGGTCTTTAATATCCCTTCTTGCCTTTATGCAATTTCTGCATGATGGTTTTTCTTCGGAGCGCCAGTCAGCGCATTCTGTCCTAAGGTGTGGGCCTCCACAGTGACTGCAGACCTCTGTAGTCTCATTGCATAGGCGCTTGGTGTGTCCATATCCCAAGCACCGTGAGCATTGGACAAGTGGGGATTGGTCTGCCACCCTCACACGTTGGAGATCCACGTGAATCACTTCAGCTTCTATGAGGCGAGTCCATAACTGGGGCGAGACTTTCAGTACAATGTGGGATGTATGCGGATTCCTGGAGTTTTTCTTATATTTTATCTCTATTCTATCCTCATTGTCTTTCAAATCTTTAAGAAGTTGTTTATTTTGAACTCTAATTGCTTTAATTATTTCATCGTCTGA